GCACTTCTTAGTTCTAAATTACATATTACTATTGCTACATACCATATGCCTAAAAATGGTCTATTTAGAGATGGAAATATTTTTCATTTTTTTTGTAAGCCAAAAATTGTATTGCTGGGAGTAAAAAGGGACACTCCTACCCAAAACTTTGAACAATTCAAGAGAAAAAGGATAACATCACAGGAAAAAGTGCATCAAGATAAGCTAGTCTACTGGATCTCGCAGCTGCGGGAATTGAAACTCTGCTTAGCAATGTTAAAAGATAAAAAGATAACAAAATTTTCATTTTGTGCCATACTGTACCAACTATCTTCTCCCAAAGAGTGCCAATGTTCCGTTCCTGCTGTTTGGTATCTTCCTTGGTCCTCTGATCCTGATTTCATTGAAAGCAAGGAAGATGAATGATTTTTATGCACCTACCCTGTGTTTTACAGGTACTTGTTTTAAGCACATATTCCCTGTTCTGCAGGTCTTGTAAGTGGCAGTTTCTTGTTTGGTGAGCTTTATGGATCATAGGTCATACGTTTTCCTGAGTCAGACTTGGATGTCTGTTATCTGAATTATGAAAGATGGTGGTCCTTTTGGGAAGTCTTCTGCAAGTCCCTGTTCCATGCCAATGTAATTGGCTGCACATCCATGGAGAATGCGGTCTCGCTGCTTGTGCAGCTAGGGGACTTGCGCTAGTATGCGGTCAAGGTCAAGCAATGTTGATACTTTGAGTGAAATCTTTTGGGGAAGTCACTCAATTTCAAACTTAGAATATCAACATTTTAAACTAGCTTTTATAGTTTTTGAACCTGGCTTACCAAACCAAATATCCAACATGAAAACATTCACATATAACTTCTTACATATAATACTGCCTGCAACCAAATTGGGTAAAGAGTTTTATTTAGAGATGAAACAAATTGTTTCATTTTGTGCCATTCTGTATGAACCATTTTCTCCTCCTCTTCAGCAACCTTCATCTTTGCTTCATACTCTGGCCACTGCTTTTCCAGCGCATCGAGTTCAGCTTTCAAGTCCTTGGAAAGTTTATACATTTCCTTTTGCTTGGATGATAAACTGTCTTTCTTCTTCTGTGCCTCAACAATTTCAACAAGGGGTTCAACTTTGTCCTAAAGGGTGGCAATGTTCCGTTCCTGTTGTTCAGTTTCTTCCTTAGTGCTTTCAAACACAATTAGACACCTCCCCAGTTCACGATGGAGTGTCATCTTGACAAATTCCTTGTGCATAAACAGATTCTTGTCCTTAGATGCTTTTGCTGCTCTCTCAGGTAAGTCAATAATTTTTCCCTTCATGGTTAGTAATTCTTTTTGCTCAGCTGAAAGTACAGAGTAAGTATCCAGAGAAGATAAAACGTCAAATGCATTTCTTATTTTATAAATCCCCCCTGCATCATTTAAGTCAGCTGGATCCATGTTCAAATCGTCGTTTATCCTTGTCAGAGCTTCTTTTAGTTCTTCTTTTGGAGAAAGATTTTGACTACTAGAGATCTCAGAGCCCAAATCCACGAAGAATGCATTAATATCTTCTTCAGTTGGGTTTCCTGTAGCTACCTTACATCCATTAGCTATCTCGTCATTACTGATCTCTTTGCTTGAGCCATGGGACTCATCCCTGAATATGGTAACGTCAGCCTCTATTATGCATGTCTTCTACCAGATAACCTGTTGAAGTATATTGTTCCCTTGTGAGTATAAAGAATTAGAATCTCACATTAAAGACCCATATAACTACTAGATTAATTTTTTAGTTACAATATGGTGTTGAACTTGAAACATTAGAGGGGTCACTCAATGTCTCCCTACTATGGACTGTACTTCAACAAAGTTTAAACATATCAAGATACATATAACTATCGGATTCTATTAGGTAATTTTTAATGTAACTGTTATTATTTTATAATTTAGTATAATCCAATTTACAAAAATAAGAGACCCATGATATAACCTAAGAGTACAAGTTTGAACTGCAAAATTGAGTCAACTAAATAAGAAGATATGAAGAGGCTTACTCAAATCTAATGGTTAGTTTTGCTTAAATTGTAAAATAAAAAACTCATAATACAATCTATGAGTACAAGTGTACAATTGCAAAATTAGGACAATTAAATGAGAAAGGGCCACATTAATGTCAAGAGGTCTACTATGCTTTCATCTAATGGTTAATTTTGTGTGGGGTAGACTACACTATACATTTTTTGCATAATGTATTCTATATGTGTATGCCCAAAAGGAAAACACAATTAAAGTACCATTTGTCATCTCCGAGGGAGAAGACCTCCAAATACAGCTTCTGCAATTCAAGCTCAGGGAAATTCTTTATTTTCCATATAAACTTTATCTCATCCACTACACTCCCCACTCCCACAAAAAGAAGGGGAATTTGAATTAGAATATCAAAAAGGAAACATATTATTCACACAAAGACAACAAGTAATAAAGTAGGAAATATGGAAACGGGTACGCTCGGTCTTGCGGCATCTGATATGATTTAATGTTTATTCTATGTCTATCCATGTCTGTTATTTCTTTGTTTTTTGAATGTCTAGAACCGTATGCTTAAAAATGAATTTATTTTTCTTCTCTCTCCCTGTATATTTTTCTATGATCATTTTAATTTAACCAGGCTATCTTTTGTGGTGGTCATGATTTGAGTGTTAAATGGTGATCCAGATGTTGTGATATCAAATGCTTTTCTTGAACCTAATGGTCTTGATGAGTGGAGGAGGGAGCTGTTATGGCAAATTGGTCTTACATGGTTTATCTTTAAACAATGATAAATATTTCTCATGTTTCTTTTATAAAGCAGCGGTCCCGTTAATTCTGTATGTATATTATTTTTGGAGTTTGGTTTCAAAGGAGAAGGTTTGAAACTTCATTCACCATGTGAGAGTTCCTCAATTGAATGCTAAAATGTTCAACTACCATAAGATCTTTTGTATGTCTTTAGCATCCCTGGATCTTGTATGTGTAACGTTGATGTCTGGACATGTTTTGGTTGTATGCTAAATTTGAGGTTTTCTCAGTTTTATGAACCCATGAGTTTAGAAGCATTATCCTGATTTTGTTCACAATGAATGATTTCTATGCACCCAATCTTTGCTGTACCAGTGCCTTTTTTTAAGCACATACTCCGTTCTACAAGTCTAGCAAGTGTCATTTTCTTGTTCCTTGAGGTTTATGGATCATAATTCTTAAGTTTTGTTGAGTCAGAGACTTCGGATGTCAGTTACATAAATTGCCAATGACGGTAATCCTTTTGGGAAGTCTTTGGCAGGTCATAGTTACATGCAAATGTAGGTGGCGTCCATGGAGAATGGGGTTTCCCTGCTGCTTTAGTTGCCAGGGACTTGCGCTGCTAGCATGCAATTAAGGTCAACATTTTTAACTAGTTTTGACACTTCTTTTTTCTTTAATAGTTTTGGAACCTTGATTTATAAACCAAATATTCAACACAGGGCATTAATATAGCAGTCTAAGGTAGAAAGGTTTGTTTAGAGATGAAACAAATCGTTTCATTTTTTGCCATTCTGTTCTAACCATCTTCTCCTCCTCTTCGGCGGCCCTCATCTTTGCTTCATACTCTGGCCACCGCTTTTCTACCACGTTAAGTTCAGCTTTCAAGTCCTTGGAAAGTTCAAACATCTCTTTCTGCTTAGACGAGATATTGTCTTTCTTCTTTTGTGCCTCATCAATTTGAGCAAGGAGGGAATCAACTTGCTCCTGGAGGGTGGCAATCTGTTGTTCCTGCTGTTTGGTTTCTTGCTTAGCCTTTTTAAACACAATTAAGCACCTTTCTAGTTTGCAACCAAGCGTCACCTTAACAAATGCCTTGTGCGTAAACATATTCTTGTCCTTAGCTGCTCTTGCTGCTCTCTCAGGCAAGTCAACGAACTTTTCCTTCATGGTTAGTAATTCTTCCTTTTGCTCAGCTGTAAGTACAGAACAAATCATCAAAAGAAGATAAAACATCAAATGCAGTTTTAATTTTCGAAATTCTTCCAGGATCATTTAAGTCAGCTGGATCCATGTTCAAGGCGTTCCTTATCACTCTCACAGCTATTTCTACAACATGTTTTGAAGAAGGATTGTTACTACTGGAAATCTCAGAGTCCAAATCCACGAAGAATGCATCAATATCTTCTTTAGTTGAGCTTTTTGTGGCACTGGCCTCTTTGTTTGAACCATGTGACTCGTCGCTCAATACGGTAACATTAGCCTTAATTATGCATGTCATCCACCAAGTAACCTCTTTCAAGATCATGCAAGTCCTCAAGGAGGATGAATTTAGAGAAGCCCCAATCTTTTTCCTGTGCATTAAATTTATGCTCTGCATCTGCGCATAGAACAAATCATTGACAACCATGTGATAAAATGCATAAATAACATTTTAAATGTCATGATATCCAATCCTAATTGTGTGCTACTACCTTTAGTCCATTTTGCTAATCACACTTTCTACAAAAGGATTGTACAATTTATTTTTCAATTTCAATTTTCAATATAGCATTAACGTCTTGTTTTTCAACTTTACCCATTTTAGTAATTACTTTATTTTTAAAAAACACATTTTGAATTCCCAATTACCCTTATTAGTAAGAGTAAATATAAAATTTTAACTAATAATAAGTGTGTTTTTATAGATATCCTTTTAGTTTTTTTAGTAATAGCATCAAATAAGAGTGTGACAAGTAAAATGAATTAAAAGTAATATATATAATTTAGTAAGAGTAAAACCGACACTATCCTGTAATTGAGATTAGATGACTTAATTTTTCACTTCTCACATATTATATACCTTCTCTAACTGAGGATTTGTTATCAATTTGGTTGACAACAGTCAAGGAGAATTCTGCATTTCGACTCCAACCAGAGGGCAGAGTCTCTGACTCTGCAACTTCCAGGAAAATTGACAAATGACCCACCTTGTTGCCCTTGGGGAACATTAGTATCCGCCTACAGAAACCATCAATTCAATGTAAAAAATACAAAAGACCTACCATCAATCTTATTATGTGCCGAGCTAGTTCAATCTCTAGTCATTACATATTAAATAAAAAAATACAAATGATTTACATATGTGTGCTCAAAAATAAAACAAATTAAAGAATTACCATTTGTAATCTTCAAGGGAGAAGACTTTTGAGTAGAGCTTCGGCGAATCAAGCTCGGGGAAATTCTTTATTTTCCATGTAAACTTTATCTCACCCACTGCACTCATCCCACTCCCCCACCAAAAAACAAAAAAAAAAAAAAAAAAAGGAGTAATTTGCATTAGATGGTTGATATATTTTCGAGTTTCAGTTGGAGTCTGGAAATTAAAACAAGAATCAAAACCGTAGTCATTCTTGGACTGCTAGATTTAGAATTTTCGTAAGAAAACACATTATATACAAGCAATAACTGCATTAAAAAAAACAAACACTTGAATTGAATTCTGAATTCACCTTCCATCGTTTCGTCGAATCGAATCCTTTTAAGTTGTTGGCTCCTTTTCTTCTCTGCCAAAGAAATGGGCAT